ACCCATATTATCATCATCACCCCTGTCACAGCTATTAAGAATACTAACAAAAAAGAATAACCAAGATTCATAACAGTAAACTAGATAACTAGGGTTCCTAAATGGAGTATGGGGGCTATTCACCTACTTACTAAGCCCCCTTGAACCTCCAAGTACCATCATCATCCCTAAACCCTGAACCGTAGACCCTAAACCCTAAAACCTAGACCCTGACCCTAAACCCTAAACCATAGACCATAGACCCTAAACCCTAAGCCCTAAGCCCTAAACCCTTAACCCTATCATCACCACCCCATCCTCGAGCCCCTTCAACCAACCCCAGGCACCTGGACTCCCGCTTCTCCTCGCCAGACCGCCCAGGTCGAGTAGGCCTGGAGCTGCTGTCTGATTCCCCTACGTTCCCAAACACGGTTTAGGGTTTAGGGTTTAGGGGTAAAATTGGGATAATACATGGTAATATACGGATTTCTGTTATTTATGGATAATGGAAAAGAAAATGGAAACTATGTTCCAGGAGACTTTCTCAAAAAGGCTGTCCTTTAAGACCCTAAGGCCCTAAGGGTATAAAATCACACTATGAGGGGACTACTTGGAGGTTCATGGGAAATAGTAACTACTTATAACTGGGCTTATAGGGGGTACCCCAATTATAAGTAGGGTTATAACCCCAATTAGAAATAGTTACTAAGTCCCACAGAATCATGCTAGGGCTTCTGGAGCCGATCTGGGCTTTCTAGGTATCCCTCGCACCGTCGCTGTCATCATACCTCACCCCTGTATCGTCCTTGTCCAATCCGGAAATGCTCTATGCCGTCATGGTTAAGTGATCCTATGCAATTCCTGAATGATTCTACTGGAATCCCACTGAGTGTGGTCTGCACTTACTACACCAGAAAGGCAGTCGGAAACTTGTTTGAAGCTCGCAGAAATTGTGACAAGGGTAGCGCGCCTCGTGCGGCGGATGGCACTGTAGTTTCCGGCCTGTGGCGCTACTTCACGCTTGGCGCATCTCTCCCAACTCTGCCAACCTGTGAAAATCTGCCAAAAACAAACTTTGATGAGTTTTTTCTTTGTCACTTCGGGCAGGGTGTAGTTCTGCCAGACACGCACTCCGGCATGTCTGAGAATCCAGCGAAGTGGTCATACTCCTCCCAGCCAAGCAGACATGAGCCTTTTTTACCTCTCGGGTTCCCCGTCGACTGACAGCAGTCCTTGGGATCGTAAGGAGGATCCAGGAGTCGACCCACCTGGCCAAACTGGATTTGAGCCATACTCCAAACTCCTAGTAATTATCCCCCTTAATAAGCCCTATAATCCCCGATTTAAGGAGTTTAGACTCTAATTCATATGCGTGCCACTTTTGCGCACGCTCAGGGAGCTTCGGGGAGGGGTCGTGTGAAAGAAACAAGCAGGTACGCGGATTAGGATGGGCTCAAGAGAAAGTGACCCGAAACCCTAAGCCCCAAATCCCTAACCCTAAACCCCAAACCCAAAATTCCAAGCACCAACTCATGGATCAACCTATCCTGGTCCCTGAAACATCAAACATCAACCTTTGGCCAGCCACCACAGGATATTTGGCCACGTAGGTCTCCCAGTAGGTCCTAGGTCCAGCCACAGCTTTTCTTGCAGATGCGCAGGAGTTTCCATTTCATTTTCCTTTTCCATGTGATTCTCGATTATCCCCATATACTGTTGTGAGAGGTTCCCAAAAATAAGGGGTTATTTTTTGGAGGTCCGTATACTCAGAATTGTAGTATTTGAGGGGTCTAGATTGGGTTCCGACTACTTTATGGAAACTACCCCATATGAAGTCTGCCCACGGTGGAGAATGGGAGATGGTAACACTTCGCACCGCTGAGCCATAATCCGGTTCAGATGTCGCAGCTGCTTGTCGCTGAGGTCATCCAGACCTGTAGCGGCAACTGTAACATACGCATTAGAAACAATAGAGGAACTATAGTATGAATCGCGAAAACTAGTTGTAATAGTAATATACTAATAGCAATATTAGCTGAAATCTTGTCAAGAAGGCTCCAGTGCAAGAGCTTCAGTCAGGACTACTCCGAGTCATTTCAAGAGGTTCCACAAGAGAATCCCAGGGATAGATTTATATGAACTATAGTCTAAACTCCTAGCATCCCCCTTATAACCCCTGTCGTAGTCCCCTGTATAATCCCCTATATAACCCACCTTTAAGGAGTTTAGACTATACAGCTCATATGATGTTCTTGCATGGCCTTTGAGGCTCGCACCCTGGTCTAGCATTTCCACCTGGGGCTGTCGGGGAGTCCATATGCGTAGTCATGCCATGCCATGTCAGGCTAAGACTTAAGCACCTGTAACTTACGGGGGGTTAGTAGGGAATGAGAGAATATACTAAATAGGGATACGTGGATTGCATTCCCGCATTCCCTACTAGCCACCAGTAAAGTAAGGCAGATACCCGGGTTTTCGTCAAGGCGAACGCTCGAGTGCAGTCATGTCCTCACGGCTAGCTCCAAACACATCCCATCTTCTCGTTCCTACTTCAGTGACGATCCTGGACTTTACGCCGGTACCAGCAAACTAGGCCAGAATTGCGGACCGCAATGGTTGGTGTCAAAGAGCATCATACAGCTGCGCCAGCCCATGACATGACCGCTAGGGCTGTCCTGCGAAGAGCCGATATCCCTGTCCTTCGCCATAGAACTCCTCAGCTGCAATGGCGGGAAGCATCGGTTCGGGCAGCAGATGCAAGGATCGCCTTTCCGCTGGAGACGTCGAAGACACGCCCCCACACTGCTAGCCTGGGAGAGCAGCAGCTACCAAGAAACACTGATGCACAGTGAATAGACTAAAATATCTGGCCGCTGGCCTCTACACCACCCCCAAAGTCTCAAGAAAAAAAGGTTGCCTTAGGAGTCCTCGTTGGGGTGATCTGCTATGGATCAAGTTTCTACACGTGGCTGCTACAATCTCTTTGAGGTCACTGAGCTGGGCACAGGAGATCATTGTCCTTCACCCATCTTTTCGAGAGGCTTGCAAGACCACTCTGCTTCCCTGGTGTCCGGAAGCTAATTCCTACTTGGAGGATCAGGGGGTAAAAAAGTAGGTCAATAATGGGAAGAACTAGGGTTACAATAGGGGTTATAGGGGTTGTTTATTAACCTGCATGCTAAGTCGCCCTGATCCTCCAAGTTATTCCTATGTGAAGGACCCCACTGTCCTCCCGGTGTTGCTGGAGTTCTGCCAGAGTAAAACTGGCCTTGGACAGAGGGATGTATAATCATCAATATATACATACAAATATGTATATGTATATATATATGCATATACTATGCATATACACAGTATATGTGAGGCTTTCCCAAAATTAGGGGTACCTTTTTGGGGTCACTATAAGAAGGATTATTGTATATGGGGATCTATATTGGTCCTATTTAGGGAAACTACCACATGTATCGTAGGATCCTAATTTATGGTCCCCCGAGTTGGACAGTAAATCTGAACACCTGCCAATTTTCCTAAGGAACCCCATATACCCTCACCAAAAACCATAAGCAAGACCCTACTTCATATCACGTTGGCGATGTGCAAGAAGCAACCAGCATCGCCCCCCTTTTCTCCTCCAGAAAAGGCAACAGCCAAGACGTCACGCACGCCATTTGGAAAAACTTTCACAGTCTAGGATACCAGATCAAGGCCTTGAATTGACTTCTGGCAAAACATCCTGGGTGGAAAGACCTCGTTGTGGTGGCTCCCTGGCTCAATTGATTAGTCTGGTCTTCTTCTTTCGAAGCCGAAAATGATTTATGCAAGGCTTTGTACATGCCATCCCAACAATAACTTGACATCGTGCTGGGCAGCAGGAAGTGCAAGCCCATCCGAGAGGGCATGTCCACATGTCTGCACAATGCCAAAACTGCCCAGTGAGACCGCCTTTGACTGCTACAACCGTTGGCTCATGCTGTGGGAGGGTCTCTCTGGCTGCCAGAATCGCCGCCTGACACCAGCAAGATTACAACGCTCAACAACACAAGCAGCTGCTCTCATGCCACGAGAGTACGTTCAAAGAGGTGACCTACCCTCTCGGAAACTAACATGGAAACCCAAAAAAGGGCCCTATAAGGACTAATGTGATTTTAAAGGGGGGCTATATGGGTTTCCATATTTGTTTTGGGGGAGTGTAATACCACAGGTCGTTTTCTACCTCGCACGCGGCAAGCATTTCAGAAGCTGCAGACAGACCATGGCTTCCTAATTGAGCAGCAACGCCTTTCGTGCCAGGATCTGCTACCAAGGTTTGATATCCATGGTCCGTGCTACTCCTCCGATACGCGTTGGGGCACCTTGTGCTTGAAAGCTTGGCATATCTTGAGTCCTTCCTGGAAGTAGAACTTTAGTGAAAATCTGGAAAGCATGGAAGCAGTGGTCCGGATAGGATTCCGCGCACATTGATTGCCCCAATGCAGGGAGGGTGAAGCCTTTCTCAACCTAGCTAATTCAGCTCAGTCAGCTGTACTTCAGCAGCTGTGCCAGGTAGCGCGTTCATCTTAAGAGCTTTAGACACGGATCTGTCATGGTACTGCTGTTATCTATCGTCGCCTTCTATATGGAATTATACATCTTGTTGTTTTATCTCACGCATTCTTTGGGTTTTGCAATTTCCTCGCATTCGTCTACGCGGGCCCTCCACGTATGTGCATATCGTCAACCCCTTTGCTATCGGTGCCCTCTGGAGAGTGGCAGTCGGTGAAACAGCACGCACAAATTCTGTGAATTGCTACAAGATCAGAACGAAGGACGACGTTTAGACCCTCCTTAAGCTTGTCCAGGGATGCATTTCGATTCATTCCTTCGTTCTCCAGCCCACGCTCAGAAGCCCAGCTCAGACTGGGCTATGATGTCTCGTTATTGCCTCGCATCACATAAGGCAGATAGCCAAATGCTTCACCATACCTCCATATTATGGTAGCTTAGTCGATGTGCCTTCAAACAACAAATTGAAGCCAAAGCACTCAGCTTCTCGATGAGAGCGAACTGCTCCCTCTCCACTCGCTCCAAGGAATTCAGCTGGAAGACAAGCCTTAATGATCCGTTGTTGGTCTTGTGAAGGCATACCACACATCATGTGCCATGAACTTCCTTGTTGAAAGCTCTCTGTTACATTCAGAATCAGAAACGTACGTGAAGTGCGAGGTTTGCGTTCCATGCTGATTGCTTCCAATCAGTTCCAATGGCATCTGGGGAATCTGAGGTGTTGCAAGACACATGAGGATTGCATATCCGGCTTATGTAGATTATAGGGCTGGAACACCGCACGCATAAGTTGCTTCAAACTTCCTAGTACGCAAGTCAAACGCTATCAAACACAATCCATATGAGCTATAGTCTAAACTCCTTGTATCCCCTTAAGAACCCCTATAGTTACTCCCCATGTCATCCCCCTTTAAGGAGTTTAGACTCTAGCTCTTATGTCTTGGGCGGTAATCATGGAGCCGGATCTTAGCTGCTGTTTATTGCATTCAGCCCTGCCAGACGCCTGCTTCGTCAAGCTCCGGAAGCCGCGTCTCAACAGGCCCCCAGCCCCAATGAGGAGACGCTCCCTTCTTCCCTAAAGTCTTGAAACACCTTCTTCTTGAACAACTACCCCGGAGATGGAAACCCCTCAGCTGCCCGAATTCTGGGAACCTCCCTGCTCAGGATTCGGGGTTTAGGGTTTGTTCTGAAAAGGCTCGCCTATCATTCCAATCTGGTAGTTTCCATAGATAGGCATCTTTCGTACCCCCAATATTCCTTAGTACAGACTACAGACCCTCAAAAATGCCCCTGGTTTCAAGACATCCTAACCCTAAACCCCCGAACCCTAAACCCTAAACCCTAAACCCTACACTGGGACTGATTTTCTCCAAAGCTGTCAAAATTCCTCTCAAGCTCCGCAGACTTCTCCTGGATGGCTGCCTGCCGTGACTTTGGGGTCTTTCGGGGGCTTGGTTTAGGGTTTAGGGTTGAGGGTTTAGGGTTTAGGGTAACCACCTCTCCAATATGATAAAACCCCATACCCCTAGATGACAAACACCTCCATTTTGGGAGGAGGGGATGAGACTTCTCGGATTTGGGGCTGCAAGTTTTAGCTCTAACCCTAAATCCTAAGCCCTTAAACCCTTAAACCCCTGAACCCTAAACCCTTAAAACCTAAACCCTAAACCCTTAAACCCTAAACCCTTAAGCATCCTTAAACCCTTAAACCCTTAAACCCCTAAACCCTAAAGGGCTTATGGGGCTTTCAGCTTAAGGCTCAGCCGGTGAGGACTTACGCTTTGAGGGCTTAGGGCCCAGGATTCAGGTCCAAGGTTCAGGGAGCAGGGTCTTGGGCTTGGCGCCCCAGACAAGAGCAGCGAAAGAAGGCCATGAGTATCATTATCATTCTCATTGTGATAGGAAGCATTCCTGTGCTGAGCAAGCGCATGATGACTACTTTCGGAGGGCTGAAGACTCTGATATGCTGTATGTGCGCAGTTACACCCCCAAACTGCACATGCCACCGATGAGAATGCGCCTTTTTGCACGGCATGGGTGGCAGTATGGAAAGGAAGGCCAATACATGATAGTTTCCCAAAATAAAGGGACCCCAATATAGACCCCGAAATGCAATAATCCTTATTAACGGGACCCCAAGAAAGGGTACCCCTAATTTGAAGAAAACCCCCACATCCTACACTTTCTGAACCCTCTTGCGGTCTGGGAAAGGGAGATTCTAATACAGCAGTTGCTTCAGTGAAATGCTGGGGCACAACCATTTCCAATAGTCTGAGGCCCGCTAGGGTTTTTGAAGTGCCCTTTTTACGCCTGCCACTCCAGGGTAAAGGACTTTGCAGTCCAGGCGCGCTAGGGTTTGGGGTTTATAATCTCATACAGCACCATAAGTCTAGATAAGCAATCCACTGAAACAGGTCTGATAGCATTGTACCAATAATCGTAATTGTCGCAACGATGGGGAATCAAATGGAAGAGACAATGGAAATTGCTACTACACGCATAGGAACATCTGGTATTGTCTAGTGCCAAAGGGTTCGAGGGCAAGCGCGAAATCATGAGATTGTGTAACAGGCTTTCAACATGGGGCTTCCAAAAATTGGGGTGAGGGTGTCTTTTGTGGCGGGTCTCAATTGTAAGGTATACAATATATTGGGGTCTTCTATTTGACGGATTTGAAGCGAACTTTCTTGCTTGAATACTGCTACGGAGGTGTGGACTTGCTATACTGAAACCTCCCATGCACGTACATGGTGGTAAGTTTCCTACAAAAGATAACAGGGTCCATGGTAGGGATATATAGGAAAACTGAGAAAGAAAATGGAAACTAGTATACCATGATTTCAGCTGGTGCTTAGTATCTTTTGTTTCTAGATAGGGGGACCCCAATATAGACCCCAAAATACTGCTATAATCCTCATTGTCAGGACCCCAAAAAATGTAGCCCTGACTTGAAGAACCCTAATCCCTATAAACCCCAATACATTCCCACCTTCCATTTAATTGTCCATGTTCTTTTCCATTTGATTCTCTATTATTGGAGTGATATCCCTAGAATTATACCCCTTAAACGGACCTAGGGTTTCCATTTCATGTTCCATGTTCTTTTCCATTTGATTCTGCATTATTGAATGAGGTAACCCTAAACCCTAAACCCGGTATTCTCTGCGCCTGCATGCTCAGCTGTTTCCGTCTTCTTGCCTCAGCCTCCATCTCAGCACCTTGGTAGCAAAAACAGAAGGCAGCTCTGCCAATATTTATTGTACCGGGATATGTATGTACATATATATATGGAGGTTTCCCAAAAATGGGGTACCTTTTTGGGGGTCCCTATAATAAGGACAATAGTATATTGGGATCTATTTTGAGGTCCCCTAATTTTGGGAAACTACCATATCTATCTATCTATGGTTATACAGGGAATGATGGAGAATCAAATGGAAGAGGAAACAAAAAGCGGGTTTTGCAGGCTTTACGCTTTGGGGTTCACGATGTTTTGATTTCGAGCTGGGTGTATCAAGGCTGTAGGATGTTTCAAGGGGCAAGAACACAGAACCCCTAGATAACCCTTATATAGCCCTTGTATAAATTATATAGGGCTATATAAGGGTTACATGGTATGACCCTTAACCCCTATATAACCCTAATACAAACCCTCAGGACTTAGGATGGGTGGTGTCTTCAGAGCTCTTCATCTAGATCTGGCCTATATTATACTGTAGTATGTTGTTTTTTATCAGATTACATCGTCTCGTGTTGTATTATGCTAGTTCATAATTGGGACGGCTCAGGCTAAACTGTATTCCACATGCATCCAATGCTGTCATACTCAGCGATCAACACTCCTTTTCTGCCAAATCTATGCAAATCATGCCACTTGCACGCGGAGACACGGAGGTGCATTCCCCGGAATGATTTGGAAGTCCGTTGCACGAGTGTCCATCCAGCAAGCTACAGCAGCTTGACGCCGGCTTCTACGCATCCAGTTCAGTTCATGTCCAGGATTCCAACATAGCCTTCATGAGGATATATGAGGTGATGAACTCCTTACGACGTCCTGTAGCATCGTTTCTTGCCATGCTGAGACGGGGAAGCACTGCAGGTGGTGAGGCCGGCGACCGGAGCGTCCAAATATGGCCTTCCTCACTCGACTTAGACTTACATGCCACGTGGTCTTTGCAGAGGAAACAGATCTCCCGCAGGCAATTTCAAGCAGTCAGGCTGCGCACCCCATCGTTTATGACAGGGGTTACAAGTTCGACGTACAAGCCTGCCACAAGCCACAGAAGAAGCAAGAAGGCCATGAAGGTATCTGGCTCCAGCGGCCACTGGTGGCAGAGCTGCCGAAATATGGCCAGCAGAGGCCACTGGAAAAGATATACTTCGAAGCTGTATTTCCCCAAAGAAACTAGGGCGCGGTGGCTCAAGAACCACGCACACAGACCTCCTTTCCGGGACCCATACATGAAGGCTCCCACAGCCAAGGCGCAGGCATGTGTGAGAAGGGCACCGGAGTTGGCCTCGCACTCCGCATGCGTTGCAGGAGGCGGCAAGGCGAACACAAGTCCCACACACGCCAAGAAGGAAACATCCGCGAGAAGTGCCCTGCAAAAAGGCCATCCATCGCTGTGTTGATCCTCCTCCTTTTGGCTGTAGTATGCCACGATAACACCGATTGCAAAATCGCCCAACTGCGCCGGTGGCCACATGAAATCTGTGGCGTACTGTGCCCAGGTTAACTGCTTGCCTTGATAGAAATACAGGAAAAGCAGAGGTCCAAAGGAAACAACATAAACTAGCCATGCAGACAGAAGCAGAGCCCCACTGCCATGTTTTGCATCCATACGCTCCACCAACTTCCGCAGGAAGGGATACAGCAACCAGCTTGGGATCAATGCCTCGATGGTCCATGATGGTGGAGCAGGACACCAGGTGGCTGGACGGATCCAGTGGGCAACAAATCCGAAGCAGCTAAGCAGAGTCCATGCACTGGGCATGAAGCTGTCTCTGTACATTGGAACCACCAAGACCACTGAAATGCTGACAACCATGGCAACATAGGTTGTGAACACGATGTACGTCAGACGACGAATGTAGAAGCCACCCATGCTAAGCTGACCACTTCGCAAGCGTTTGCCGTAGGACCACTGTGTTATAAAGCCGCTCATGACGATGAAGATATCAACGGCCATGAACGAGCGACAGGTTGCCACCTGTAGGGGCCCTAAAGTGGCAGATCGCGGCATGTAGTGCCCACATACAATCCACAGGGCCAGCAAACTCCGAATCCCTGTCAAATGGTCCAGCACGTCTGCCATCCGAGATCTGTGGGGGACACACTATCCCCAACCTCTGCTTCTCAGGCTTGTGTCTTCCAGTCCTTGCCACACTTTTTGCTAGCTCTAGTTGCTGATTGGTGGCTGTGATGCTCATTTGACTCATGGCGTTTGGCCTTTCACAATTGATTCTTGTGACCACTGCCGTAGGTCTGATGTTGAATTATTTGCTTTCAGCTCATAAGACGTGACTTGTCGCCACCGAACTTTGCAAGCCAAACCCAGGTAACTGCCATACAGGTCAATGACATGACAGCAGTGAGGACATACAGAACCAGAAGGGAAATAACAGGAAAACGGAACGAGACTGCCTAGTCCTGAATCTATCATGAGCTCTGCTTGTGCTTGTGCTCCATCCCTGGCAAAATCAAAAGTTACAAGCAATGCAACCCCCTGCAGTAGCCTCAGACTCCATGGTGTCCCTAGTAAGCTATCTCATTGAAAGAGGATCCAGGCCTCTCCAAGCCCAGCTCAGTGAGGAACTCAGACCGGACAAATACATGCTCCCCTGGTCTGATGTCAACACATCCCTTTGCATCTCAACCATGCACTGCCAAAAATTCAAGTCTCCGCAGTCACCTAATCACACATCCTCCTTACAGCTGTCGGACAAGGGGTTCGTGCTAAGCTGATTACCTTGCGTAGTCACCATCCGGGGCAAGAGTGTGTTCACTAACTTCCACCCAATGCAAGCTCCAATATACCATAACCTGTATTCTGAGGCCCCGAACGCCCCACATGAGCCACAGTCTAAACTCCTACTATCCCCCTTAATAACCTCTATACTACTCCCCTATATAGCCCCCTCCTTAAGGAGTTTAGACTCTAGCTCCATCTAAGCCCCTACATGTAATCCCAGTTTCCATTTCATGTTCGATGTTCTTTTCCATGTGATTCTCCATTATTGGCTCATAGGGTTCATATCCCTATACACCCCTTAAAGGTACCTAGGGTTTCCATGTCATCTTCCATTGTCTTTTCCATTTGATTCTCCCTTATTGGGTTACATAAGCATCCCCTATACCCTAAACCCTAAACCCTAAACCCTAAATTCATCCTCACTCGAAGCTTGGGCCGCTGCGGTTTCGCTGACCGATGGCTCGAAGCTTCTCTTCCTCAATCTTCTGCGCCTCCCCATCCAGGACCTGGAGCGCTTGGGCGATTCCCAAAATCAGGGGTGGATTTTGGGTGAGTACCTGGCAAACAGCTATCTGGTAAACTTTTGAGATGTCTTATTTGGGAGGCCTAGCGAGACACGCTTTCATTGCAACAATATGGGGCAGTGTCGCCTCCACCAGCATGTCCACAGTCCCACTGAAGGCCTCGGGCTGTTTTCAAGATGTGGCTGCTAGAGACTGCATCATGTTCACGCATGGCCGTCATATGCCTTATGGGAACCTGCATAAGAGGGGGCTGCATTCTCAATGGCTGCGTTCGGTCTGTTTTCGCGGAGCTTTGCAGGTTCGCCCTTCTAATTATGCTCCGGCACCTGGATCTTCTCGGCGAAGCCGTGGCATTCTGCCTCTAGCGACCTCCAAGATGCGGCAACATGTGAGGTGCACTGCCAGGGCAAACTATGGTGACCCAAACCCCTGGGAGGATTTAAAAATTAGATCCCCTATATAGACCCATTATAACCCCTATATAATCCTTACATATTTTACCCTATGGTTCTAGGGGATCTAATTCTTAGATCCTTTTTGAGGGTCTGGGGAGACTGTGAGCTAGCTTTTTCAGCAAGGCCGCTCGGTCTGCTTGAACTTCTCCTTTGGCATGACCCGGATGCGGTTGTCCTGCTGAAGAAGAGGTTGGGTTTGGGGGTCTAGGGTTCAGCCGTTGCACTCTGTATACTCACACAGCCTGCGGCCTGCCTCATCGAAAGTGATGTCGATGTTTGGCTCAGCCATGCTGGGAGATCTCTGCTATGACCAATCGCTTCTGGAATCTTCTGTACAATGCGTCGCTTCAGAGCCCAAAGTCAGCGTGTGGCAGCTTGCATGCGGCAACTTCGGCAGCTCTACATGTACTTACAGCTGAGGTACTGACCTATGGGAAACTACACCGAAACAAAGGCAAGCTGGCATCAAATTTGTGGAACACCTCTGATTTTCCATCATTTAAGGTCTTTTCAGGTACTTGGTGAGAGCCTTTTCTGCCAGATGCTCAACTACCAGGCCACCTTCTTCAGTCGTCGAAAAGAATACTCACCCAGAGATTTGGTTGCGTCATCTCCCAATCTGCAAAGGAGGCACACCTTTACCAATCTGACGAGAAGCACAAGGAGCATCCAACGGAAAAGGTCTTTGGCACACCCAGAAGACAGCGCGTGCGAAAGCTGCGAAGTCCAGCTGTGATCTGCAACGAAACGACAAGTCGACAAGCAACAGGGACATAACCCCGTCACTTGTGTTCACGATTTGAATTACACCCCTGATGAGGGCATAGAAGCCTCAACACAGTTTGTGCGTCGCAAAATCTGCCTGGTCCAGCTGTCCACACAACACCATTGTTCCAGGTGATCATATCACCGTCCATCTTGCTTCTAGAGCCTCAGTACCAGGGCCACCAGACTTGAACTGCAAGTGGCCCATCAGTGTTCCAGGGTTGCTTGGAGCACGCTGCTGAGATACAAGAGATAAATTTGGCCAATCGGATGCTTTGAAGCAGATAAGGTGCCAAAGTAGTCGAGCCCCTCACCGGGACAGAACTGGGAGGCCTCCAGAATCGGTTTGCCCACTGTAGGGTGGTTGGTGACCTGTTTTGTTCCGCGAACCCAATAAGCCTTCCAAGCAATGGGTTATCTATCCTACACCCTAAACCCTAAACCCTAAATCCTAACCTCTCCCC